CAATTAGGTACTTGAATGTGACTACAGGATTAGTTTGGTACCTAACTTTTTTTAATTCAATTAGATATCTGAATTTAATTTTTTGGTTCAAATTTGCATTTGAATTTAACTTATTGGTTTAAATTGATTAGGGTTAAATATTCATTTGGTACCTAAAGGGCAGACCTCCATGGAGCCCGGGTATCTCGGGCAACCCCTCATCCAGGGATGAACCTCCATGGTGCCCGGGGTATCCCAAGCAACCCCTCCATAAGTGCCACCCCTAATCCAAGTATCACCTCTCAAAAGTGCCATCCCTGGGGCTTTTGCAACTCCTAACGAAAACTCTTGGGTCGCCTCTGGGTACCTAAATTAAGCACCTTCTCTTAAGATGGTACCTAAAAAAATTAATCTCTCAAATTAGTAAACAAATTTTAATTTCATACATTATTTTTCTATTTTTGTTTTTGAATACTTTATTATTTTTATAAACATATTTAATAATTTTAAAGATTTAGAAAATAGATGATGGTACCATCAATAACATATGGTACAATCTTACGTTATCATGTCATCAAAATTTAATCTTATTAGTACATGTAATGACCCAAATCATGGTCAATGTTCAAACGTTGATTCGAATCTACGATAATTCTAATAATGAGTTCAATAGAACTGATGACCTAAAATTTAGATTTCATCGGATAAAAATTGAATCCAAATAACATTAGAAAAAGATTTTTGAGTTTAGGGATGGAAAGGGAAACAATTAACCCATATGATGTAAATCATGGGTTAATCACTTTATTTGGGTGTGAGTTTTGGGAGGTAAAGGATGAGTATTCTAAATGTTAATATTATTACTTCAACTTTTTTTCATTATTTTCTCTTTTATCTCTCTCATTTTTTTCTTTTCTTCTTTGTCTCTAAAGCTTATATAATGTGATGACTTTACAAAAATTTTCAATCATCCGAACTTAATAAAGGTAAGCATTTTCTACCAACATGGATTGGCTCAAGTGGTAAGTAACTTAATATAGCTTAAGCAAGGATCTTGGGTTCGAGTTCTTGTGTATGCAGAAAACCCTTGTTGGAGACTCGCCCACCAAAACCGCCTTAGAATCAAAGAGCAAAAAAAAAAGGGTAAGCATTTTCTTAATATTTTTACTTCAGTTAAAAAGTGAGACATGTCACCTTCTGATTTGAGGATAAATAAAATACGTGTTATCATCTGATTGGATAATTAAATTTATTTAATTAACTTAAAATTAAGATCAAATTGATTGAGTTTGTAAATATACATTCTTTTAACTATCACGTCAACTTTTGTCCAAAATGTTAACTACAGGTGATTTGATTAACAACATTTAAATTATTAAATGGTAATATCCATAAAATTAAAAAAATCAATGGTCAAAATAGAAAAGAACAATAATTAAAAGTCAGATATAGTTTATCCTAACTTTTATACTATGAATAAATTATGGATATTGTCCATGTAATCTCAGTTGGTCATCTTTAGTACTTGTATTTTTCAAAACTTTGAAACTTCAATCATGATCTAAAAGAATCACTAAATTTATTTAGTCAATTTTTACTTTTAATTAAATTCCTTTAATTTAATTATATTATCGCTATATCATTTAGGTTTGGAGTGATATTTTAAAATTCAAAAAGTACCTAAATAAAATTAATCAAATTTAAAAAATAAAAAATAAATGTATAACTTAAAATTCAAAAAGTACCTAAATAAAATTAATCAAATTTAAAAAATAAAAACTAAATGTATAACTTACACATAACAAAGAGACTAATAATGAAATTTGACCAATTTTAAATGCATATTTGGGTGAAAACGAAAATCAATAAATCAAGCCCCCCCCCCCCACGCACACTGAGACACACCCGCCCCTTGAAGAAACCTTACTCAACGGCCCTCATCTCTCCTCCCCTTTCTCCAATTCCAACAACGCCGGCAATTCTATAACCATGGCGCACTGCCGCAGCTTAGCCGCACCGGAACCGAACCCATCTCTCAATCCCTTTAACCCCACCCTAAAAAACTCGCCCAAATCCGCCAAAATCCCTCATCCTATAACCCAAACCTCGGATCCATTAATGGCTTCAAAGAAGCCCTTTTTCATAACCAATCACTTCTCTAGATTGAACCTCAATCACAAAACCCGCGCACCACAAAAATCGACCAGCAACCAGCGTAGTAGAGATATTCGTCTACAAGCCAAAGCTTTGACGGTCTCAGCCGACGCTGATTCCTCCAGGTTTTCACTTATCAAAGCAGGCCACTTGCAGACCCATGTGAAGGCTAAAGAATCGAAGGATTTGAGTGGAAAGAAGCAACACCACCACCACCAAATATCAGTGCTTGATACCAAGAAATTAGCTTTGAATTCGGTGAAGGAGAAACAGTTGAAGAATCTACACGAAGGGCACGTTGATGATCATGTTATGGATAACGCTTCAGCTTCATTAAGCAGGAGAAGATCCTTAAGCTGTTCACAAGTAGAGCTGTGTGGTGTTCTTGCAAATTGTGGTGTGAAAATCGTTTCAGTTGATATGCCACCGTTTATGCAAATTCATGCGGTTGATTGTGCAAGGAAGACTCATGATAGCCTTGAAAAGTTCACTTCCAAAGCCCTTGCACTCACTCTAAAGAAGGTAAAGGCTATTAATTTTAATTAAAAATAACTCATTTCCCACCACTTTGCTGTGTTGACTCTATGAAACAATGGGAATTTTGGTTTGGGATTGACATGATTGAACAACTTGATTTTGGGTTTGCAGGAGTTTGATGGTGTGTATGGACCGGCATGGCATTGTATTGTGGGGACGAGTTTCGGGTCTTTTGTAACACATTCAGTTGTGGTTTCTCTATTTCTCAATGGATCAAAAGTTGTATGTTCTCTTGTTCAAGACTAGTGTACAAAGAGCTGATTGAAGTAGGTGACAAGCATAGAGCAATTTCGAACCTAAAATAGCATAGCTAGTATAGCAAAACTTTTGGAACCACAAAAGCAGCCATTGTTTTCCCATTTGTAGCTTGTACATTGCTTTTCATAAGAACAAAAAAAAAAAGTATTGTAAGACCTTGTTCAAGTGGTCTTAGGTCTTAGCCTGTATGAACATTCTTCCTCCAACGTAGTAACCTTGTATTCAGTTTATAAAATACAGAATCCATTAGCACCTCATATTGTTTAAGTTGATCTAACCTTGTGATTCATCACACTGGTAGAGAATGGAGGATGCTTTGATTTCAGCACCCTAGGAGTCACTTAAACGTGGCAGACTATGGTTGGTCCGCGCACTAATAGGAGTCTCTTAAGGTAGACAGGACCCCCATGTACCCCCCTGCAAAGCTGTTCACATTTTTTACTGCAGATTCTGAGCATAGGGTGTCATGTCCCGTGACTCGGCATTCAATATTTTGACAATGGTTGTCCCAGTATAGGGTCCATGCATGGAGTCATAGGTGTGTTCTTATTATTCAAACTTGCAAGTTTAGAGGTCTGCAAAACAAGTAAAAAATTGATTACTTTAGTTTTGGTGCAAAGCCTGGTGATCTTGTGAACATGCCTGGTAGAGAACTGTCCAAGTGAACTTGTGCAAAGGATGGGGCATTTACTTGGTTGGCTGTTGAAAGAACTGGAAGTGAAGCACTTTTAAAGGGATTTAAATAGCGGTCCGCTATCACAATAGTTACCGTAATAGCACCCGTTATTGCATGACCATGATACCCACAATCACTGCAGCGCCCGCTATGTTTGCAACCGTGATAATCGCAACACAACAAAAATTGCGATCGCAACCGTGATCTAAATCTATGATTTTGACTGGTTCTTCTGTCGAACAATTTAGAACCGTTCCCAAAGCCTGAATTCTCACAGGCTCCACGAGCGAAAAGAATCAAGCTCTAATTTGCAACTTTTTGCAGGACCAAATGCAACATTTGCTTTTGTATGTAATCCGAGTATGACAGACTGATGTTTCTTGTAAGGGCATTGGAAAAATGGAGTATAGATACTCATTAAACCTGTAATATGTATTTGGATCGTGATATCCATTTATTAAAGAGTGGAACTGTTTAGTGATATCTCCGATCAGCTTGTAATCCGCTGCCACTCTTTTAAGTTATGGCTTCTATGGTGAATGCTTGAGAAAATATGGAAAATGCTAATATATTGAAATATTTCACTGTCCTCTCTGATTATTTTACCACTGACTGCATTGATTGGAAGTCAGGTTTGAATTCTCAAAACATATTTCTTATGGGTTGGTTTATGTTCACGAACAAGTTCTTTTATAAGTTTCTTTATCCATTTGGTTATAAGTCCTTCTATCCGGTTCTCATTTTCCTGTTCATTTTTTAAAATATTAGTGAAGATAGGGATTAAATCGAACATAAGGTAAATTTTGGAGTTCAAACTGTGAAGCCCAAGGAAATTCATGACTTGTATAATTTTACCATTTTTCCTTGTCTCGTAAATAGAAGATAAAAGCGTGAAAGTTAAACAAACATGTTTGTGAAGAGAAAAGAGAGTGAACGTTAAACGAATATGTTTACGAACGTTAAACGAATATGTTCGTGAATGCTAAATGAATCGAATACGAACCCCTTCAAAAATAAACACATGACCATGAATGCAACATTGAAAATTTAAACGAAAAAGAACCGAACATGAAAACCTTCAAAAATAAATAAACAAATATTAACATGACCTTATTCATTCAAGCTCGTTTTTTTAAACCCCTAGGTTAGACCACACGAATGGGTTCACCCTGATTTCTATAGCTCACCAGCTTATTATAGAAGGATACAATTGGTCCCAGATTAGTATGCCTTCAAATTGTTACTGTACCAATAGATATTATTTTTACAAAGGTGGTTGTAAGAATTACCTGAGTTATGTTTCGGATATTGGAAAATCCTTCTAACAAGTCAAAACTTGTGGCCATTGAAATATAAAGAATTATTCTCTTCTCGTATAAACTAGAAAGCAAAATGTTCATTTATTTGATTCCATTGCAGCTCGAAAGCTTGCTTGCTTGCCAAGTTAATGAGGAGTTCAATTTGCTGCTAATCCTGCAATACGATAATGTACGATAATTATAAAATAATTTACCAGAAATGGCAGGTGTTCATGCATCAGTAGTTATAAAAACAATTTACCAGAACCGGTGTTTGAAGATAATTATGCATCCCAACTTTCAGCATGAGGCATTATTAATGAAGCATTATTAGAAGCTGAGAAATCTGTCATTAGTTCATCGATTGCTGCCTTCTTCATCCGAAAGATCGGTATCCTCATCGCCTGATTCAATGGTGAATATGTTGCTTCCGTTTCCTGAAACAGTGCAGAGTCGGTTGTTCTTGAATGCATTGCAGATCAGGTACCATATTTGTTACCTGTTTCTTCTTCCTCCATGTCGGAATCATTCTGCATACGAAATGAAATGTGTCCGCTCTTGTCTAGATTTTGCAACCGTCCTAATTGGCGAACGCCTCGACAGACTTTCTTCGGTTTTTTATGACTTCTTCTATCTCGTCAACCTGCTCAAGGTTCTGTAGTTTGGGGGGCTGATTACGTAAAAAGGTCGGGGTGCCACATTCAGTTCTTCCATTGAAAGAGTAAGATAGTAGTTTCGTGACACTGTTTCGATCGCCGGTCTTGATGCTTTGTTTCTGAAAATTGAAGTCCTTTAAGAATCCATACTTTTGTCTATAAGCCTCAAGTTCAGCCTGTAAACCTTGAAGTTCTTCTTCTGTTTTGACCATCATATTGTACATCTCTTGCAGGGCTTCTTGGTCGAATTGGGCCTGTTCATTCATCATCCTCTGATATTGTAAGGCTTCCATTTGAACTGCTGCCTTCTCAGTTTGCAACCTAGTGATCATTGCCATTGCATTATTAGCTGCTTCAGCTGATAAGCTTCTTTCTTCATCCAGTTCCATGTACAACGACATCAACGACTTGCGGTTCATGCGAACTTGTCCCTTCAAATGTTGCCAAATATCAGCTTCGGCTTCATTCTAAGGCAAATTCTGTTTTCTCGAGCGGTAATTTCCTCGGAATTTTTGCCCATCTTGAACTGTGTGCTGTGTAATCCGTTAAGGAGACTCCGAAAAACTTAGGGGTCTTAGGTTCCTCAGCATCAATCAGCAATGGTAAGGAACCGGCCTTAACATGTCCCCCCACTGTTGAAACAGCCATAGTTTTGCTTTTGTATTCCTATCTGATGCATATCCAGAGATCAAACATCTAGACAAACACGGAATATATAGCTAAAAATATATTCATATAGGACCTTTTCCATTGAAAATATATGATAGGAAGAAAGAAAATGTTCCATTCATAGTGATAATTTCAATGTTAGTAATAACAAAATTAAGGAAAATGAAACCAAATGCTAGTTTAACTTTAAACTCACACGGCCTTTCCACTGTTCCTCTTAAGCGATCTAGGACCTCTGAATCTGATTCCTTCAAATTCGGGTTAAGCTTGAAAGAGGAACATTTAATGTGTGGCGAAAAATCAAAATTTCGATTAACCGGTGCACGGGGAGATGGGGCAGGGTTAAAGGGTGACAGGTAACAACTCTTCCATTTAGGGTCATATGATTTCACCTTCAAAGGCTCCCCACAACATGCACAACGATTATCATTGCTCTTCAGAACATCTTTTGTTACAGAAGGCAACGACAGATGATCTTGATGTTCCTCATCAAGGAACAGTTCAATGTCCTTCTGTAAGATCCCCAGGAGGGACTTGCAATTATGACAATCGGCTTCTTTTTTGGTAGCGAAAGACAGAAGACAGTTCTCGCACAAGTTTCGCATGTCGGAAAGCTTCTTGTGAGCATGACAGAATGCAAGACATGAAACATTCTTCTTGTGGTTGTTACATATGGAATCATTGTAATAGAAATGTTCATTCTCAATCCTGGTGCAAAACAAGCAAGGGATAGCCAAACCAACCACTTGGCTAATACGTTGGCTACATATCCAAGAAACCCGTCCATAAACAGAATCAATATGATCACCCATTCAAGCACTACATAAATGAAAAACTTTGGGACTCTTCCAAGCTCCTGTTCTGCATACTGCAGAAATGATATTTTTTCCATTTACAAGATCAGATTTTTGCCAAAAAAAACCTAAAAGATCATATTAATGTACTTAGAAGGTGGTACAGATATCATTAAAGTAGGCATTTAGCAGACCAAGATCATGGATTATGCTAAGAGGGCGGTGAAATTTCCTTTGACTATAAATAAGAAAAATCTCTGAGAAAATTTGAGGTTCTTAGGACAGCATTAGGCCCTGAAAAACGGTTTATCAAGCATTTTCCAACCATTTTTTATGCCTACCAATGCTAAGTGACATTGCTTTTTAAGTAAACAATTCAAAACGTTGTAGATTAAGTGTGGCATCAGATTCATAACTTAGCTTTATTTTAGGCTTCCTGGATGGAAATTCACCAATTTTCTCGAGGAATGGAAACAATCAATTATTGCTAAAAAACGGGGTATAAATTCAGAAATATTTTTTTAAGGTTGACACATATATATTAATCACATAAAATTTTGATACAGGGTAGTACAAATAAAATTTCAAGGTGGATAAAATTATTAAAAATATATAATTATCAGAAAAAAATTCAAATTTCAAGGTGTGCACGTAATTTCACTAGATCCTTAATAGATCCGTCATTTGATAGAATTAGTCATATATTAAAATTAACACAATTGAACTAATAAATTAAAATAAATTAAGGTTTAATCGGGAAACTTATAATTACATGAGAAAGTAACACTTTTATTAATACACAATATAATTGCAATATAACACATTACCTCATTATTTATTTCTTCTCTACCTATGAGTTCTTTTACTCTCACATCACGCTTTTTATACACTTCATTACTCTAGTAACAATGATAACTCATCTCATATGTCTAGATTTTAGTATTCATTGGATTGTCGATACATGCCAACATTTTAGTTATTAATCTTATAAATGTTGAGAATCTTTTATATATAATTTTAGATGTAATATCAAATATTATAAATATCTAGATTATTTTACGAATATTTTTAGATATATATTATTTTTATATTATTTTAGAATATTCTCGAGATATATCTCGTAAATGGTAATTATATATTTATATAATGACTTTCCAACATTGACATTTTTAATGATTAAAAAAAGATAATCTTTTATTTTAAATTAATTAATTAATTTATACAAATTACTTTTAATTTGAAAATTAATTAATTAATTTGATACTATTAATTCTTCTCCATCATTGTTTACAATCGCACATCGATAAAGCTTTTGTTTTCGTATTCGTTACATATTTGATATGACTTGACAACATATCCTAGTGCAGTCCATATATCTTAGTTTGAGTTTCTTCTCCTGCTTCCCCAGTTAGATGAGGCAACAATTTTGGCCCTGTACTGTATTCAAAACTGGATGGAGATGCCTCGTACACAACAAGTTGCCTATAACAAGAAGTTATGCTGTGAGATGCCTAAAATAAGGTTAATAAACGGCGTAATCGGTAAAAAATGTAATATGTTAAAAGCGGAGCACAAAATGTTATAAATCAGAACCGAAAAAGTTATCAATCAGAGTAACATAACAAGTTGCATTAAATGTTATACAAGGTAAGAAAATGAGTTATAATCGGTAAATGATATGAATACTATTAACATTTAGGTGTAACACCCTGAATTCCGAGTTAGGAGTTTTGGGTATATTTGATTTGGACGTTGGAATAAATCCCCTTAGCCCATGAAGATTTTGACCCAAGTAGCATTTGATTTGGGCTTGAGATGAGCCCAATAAGTATTAAAATGGGTGTTTTTGAGAGTGTACCAAATGAGAAGGGACTAGGTGGGTAATTAGCCCATTTATTTGAATCAAAGATGAAAACCATTTATGAAATATGATCTCACGTCTGGCACCCTTTCACCTCTTTTTCTCGCATTTATTTGTCTCTTCTTCCCCACTCCTTCATATTATTTCCTCTCCAATAAATCAAGCAAAGGTCCAAGCTTTAAGAATCTTATGCATCCTTTGAGAATTCTAAGGTAATAACTACAATCCTCACCTCTCAAGCTTCAATTCAAGCCCCTATTTGCATGTTTTGGTTGAGTTAGCAAAATATTGGTTTAAGTGGGGTTTAAGAAACATTTGGGTTTAAATCCATTTTAGGAGAGTTGTGGGTTGTAGGATTGTTTTTAACACTTCCCTAAGCTTCAAAATGAGTTAATTACTCATCTTCCTTGTTTTAATTAGTGCAAGAAAATGGTGAGATCTCTAAGACAAGGGACAAGGAGAAACTCACTCTTGGGTAATTCAAAGATGTTTTCAGTCACCTAGCATCAAGGTAACACAATTACATCATGTTCATACCACATGTAGATCATTGTATGCACATATAATGTTTGTTTGTTCATAAAAGCATGCTAGAGTAAATCCATGGAAAATTTGATTTGATGTTTGCATGCATGAAAGTTAGTAACTTTTGACTTCTAAGACACCAAATAAGACTTTAAAAATGTTTGTTAGTCTTAGGGGAGTGAAAGGGTGAGATTTTTGTGTGACTTCGTGCTCAAAATAAAGTACAGATGTCTGTTGGTATAGCTACTAAAAGAACAATACTGATATTTTTCTTCGTGAGAGGAAAAAACAAGGCAATATTTTAGAGTGAGTCAATATCGTTACTGAGGCATTTTTGAAAATATCGATACCCAGGGTAGAGCATCGATACTCATATGGGGAAAGGTATTTTGCAAAACATCGAAGCTAATTTGAGTATCATACTCAAGGGGCCAACATCTATAATGTTGGTACAATTCGATACCTACAGTAATTTTTGGTAAATTTTGGTTCAATTGATTTGGGTGTTCGGGCTTGGGTGTTTTGAGTTCGTTCAAGCTTCAAGTATTCAATATAAGTGAAAACAATCAAGTTAACTTATTTCTCAGCTAGAAATCAAACGGTCAGGACACCTTAGTTGCTCTAGCATTATGATAATCATCATTTATTTGTGAATATTTGGATATTGTCTGTTGGTACGTATTCGATGCACATAAATTTTGGGTCGTATTAGTACGAATTTCGATGCATGTAAATTCTTGAATCGTACCTGATGTTCAACTAAGTTTAGAATGTGAGGTTTCGACGCACGTAAATTCCAGTCCTCATCCCGACCTCTCAAGTATTCGAGATAGACTAAGGCTATAAGTTCCGATGCACGTAAATTCTGGTTCTTACCCCGAAGCTATCAAGCTCTAGATAGGCTAATGTGTTGTCCGAGATGCACGTAAATTCCTCCAACCACTCTAGTTGGCCTATCTCATGTTTGTTATGTACTTTTGCATGCTTATGACTTTTCACACCGACATGTTCATGTAATGGATGCATGTAG